GATTTATTTAAAAACTGCAACACAAAAGTAGCTGAAATGCAAAGGAGGAGTCCAAGGTACTGAACAGGCCAATTACAGTAGCTGTGGGCTGTGTCAACATGATATGTAATTATGTTTCTAAGTAGGTGCACATATAGGTTATAGAGGTCTCTGCAGCATAGGTTTACTACAGATGTACTGATCCCCAGTTACAAGGGAGAAATCTATGGCCACACTTTGTTTCATCATTGTTCACTCATTCAAGGCACGGAGCACATGTCCTATACAATTTTATTTTATGTTCCTGTCCTGTGGCTAAAGTGAGGCTGTCAAAGAGATTTGCACACCTTTAGTTTTTGAGTTTAGACGCTGAATGATACAAGGCACATAGAGATAAATGCCAAGAAAAAAACAAACGGCACTGTCATCACCTTTTACATCCCGATAAACTTCCTGAGTGAAAAAAAAAAGTATTTCTCCAGAGGTTTTATTATCCATGTGTGGACCCAAAGGCCATTTTATGTGAAGAAGGCCTTTAGCTTTAAGCATGACTGGTACACACAGTACCTTATTTGAACCACTGATTTAAAAACAAAAAATGTGTGATATGCTTTACTAGCTGCAAAACAAATGAACCAAGTGGTAAAAAAAATAAAATCATTTTGTTGCAGCACTGGAAGAAGGGAATTTCCATCGGAGGTGGATAAAACCTCTTTGAGAAACCGCCAAAAGCTTGTCAGTGTATAAACAAAAATTTTAAAAAAGGACTCCAGGTGACTCCGGCATGCAAAGCCACAGTTTTCCTGCATAAGACAAATTTTGCCACCCCCTAAAAAAGAGACCCCCCCACTGCGTAAAGTACATTATTGCCTATGAAATGGCCAAAAAACAAGTTAAAAACACTTGTGTGATTTGTGACTTTGTGGCCTGTGTTAATCAAAGTAACACAGGCTTCCAGGCTTTAAAATGCAGAGCAATGCTGCTATATGTGTTCCATGATGAGATAAAATATGCCAGCACTGATAAAAAAGAACAGATAAATTGGCGGCTGTCTTCCTAAAACACTTTGTAATAAGACAAGATTAGCTTCTGGTTATCAGCTTTCCCTTGTTTTGTTTATTATGTATGCTGCCTATTTTTAGTTTAATCTACACTTTGATCATTCCACTGCTGTATGTCTGCCAAAGCATTTTGTAAACTGTGTTTTTTAAAAGGTGCAGCATAAATAAAATTGTATTCTATTTCTGTGATAGTTATGTAGGAAGTTCAACTTTCAGGGTTTGGGATTAATAGGTAATTGAAGCCTTTGTGGTGCTGTTGAACTTTGTATGCTTGCTAAAGGTAATCTCACATTAAACCACCTTAGCTAACTAAACTCCCAGCTGTGTGTGCTTATTTGCTAACTCTTTGTCCTCTACTCGGTTTCTGGGATCAAAACGTTTGCGGGAAACCTGAACTCAGACTTAAAAGAGCTTCACTGTTTCGTAACTGAGTCCTAGTCTGAATAACAGAACTACAATAAAGAAACACTGTCAAATAAGCTCCAGCATTAGTTTTACACACATCTGCACACATCTGGAGACAGCCCCTTCCTGTCCACACTGAACTAAGTTTGGACCAACTGAGGACGCCTAGCCTTTTATGACCGTGTCTGACAGCCGGGCTGCTCTTTGAGAGGCTTTGAGCAGACACCCAGGTGGCGTTTGTGCACCGAGGGAGTAGTATTTGTTAGCCCGGGATGTTTACAAACAATGCGGGCATCATTACTCTGAGAGCAGCTCAAGCCCAGCACATACACTTCAAAACAAACTCAACTTCGCGTTACACACCGCGGCTCGGCAGAGGAAGTTCCGACTCCAATGCAAACGCGCACACTTGAAGTTGTTGGCAGTACCGAGAGCTGCAGCTTCCCACTGGCTGCGCTATTTGATGTGGGAGACACAATTTGGAGAGGGGGAGAGACAAAATAGGGGGAAGGCACACAAATTCATCACTTCTGGCTCGGCCGTCACTTTACCTGGATTTTTCCGAGGTGCGAGTGCTTTCCTCAGTTGCCACTCTCCGCTAAATCTTCAGCGATTCACCACGAAGGGTTATTTCCTTTTTAAAAAATGTCAATTCTTCTCGCTAAACAATCACTCCGCACATCCAAGATGGCTACCAGGAACACCTCCTCCTCCGATGCCCTGTTGGACAGGAGTTCCGCCTAGCTCGACTGTGATTGGGCACCGAAGGCGGCTCCCGCGCTTCTATTCGGTGAAACCGGTTGTCAGTCCAAACAGGCTGGTTTTACTACTTCCAGCGTAGCTCCCGCTCTGATTGGCCCGCGCAGAAAGGTTAAAGGGTAAACTGAGTTTACGACATCCCCCCGCTCCCTCAGTCACTAAACGCACCCCCCCCTGTGTGCCGCAATGTCTTGTGGGAAATGAAGTTTGTGCAGTTGTCATTTATTTTATATTTTTCTATTTTGAACGCCATGACAGTAAACGTTTATCATAATGTTGTTTTTCTGCTAAAAACTAAAAGAGTAGTTTATAATATAAATGTGACTCTACAAATAAATAGATAAATACATAAATATAAACGTATACAAGCTGTTTATTTTAGTGGGTACAAGTTTGAATATTTTGCATAATCTGATGCTTAGTCAATGATTAGTCAAAAAACTGAGACCTCTTTGCATATTGCAAATAACAATTTAATAAATAGCATTATTACATACAGTACTGTGCAAAAGTCTTAAGCCATGCTGTCATGCTGAAAATGAAGCCGTTCCCAGCTGCTTTCACAGTTATTACAATATCACTGTTTTGATAGGATCTCCAACAAACCAGCTGAAATGAAGCTCCAAACCATCACAGAGCTTCCACCATGTTGTACAGATGCCCATAGCCACAACCCTCCTGTGACCTCCCATGTACTCCTGCAAATATTGATAACAAATTGTAGCCAAACCTTCAAAATTGGATTCAGCACTACTTTAGACCAGTTGCCTGTAATGTGCATTCAAGTTATTGTGTAATTTGGCATACCTCAGCCTTTTTTTTTCTCCTTTGCTAAGAATGGCTTCCTGACAGCCATCTTTCCACTGAGACCATTTCTTTAGTGAACAGTAGATATAACTGAAGAGTCAGATGCATCTCTCAGGTCTTTGCTGGATGTTTGCTGTCATTTTGGAAGGATTCAAGTAAAGAAATGGGAACAAATTGTGTGTTTTTGCAACAGCGTGCAAGTTACAAAGTGTCTAAAGACACGATTTAAAATGGGATCTTTGCTAATTTGTGACGTGTGAACTATTTCTTGAGTTTGGTGCCTTTTTATGCTTGAATGGCTCATAGATCAGTGCAGTGGTTCCCAAACTTTTTTTGCTAGGCTCTCCTTTGTTTTACAAGAAAAATGTAAAACACACGCACATCCTCCAACCACACACACCCATATTTTGCTCCATTGCGGTTCATTTCACACCTCAAACATTTTGCAAACAATTAAGCAAATACAAGTAATCTGCAATAAATTACAGGTAGTAATAAAATAAACTACAAACTCTTTTACGCCACATCCGCACCTACACGGGTATTTTTGAACACGCAGCTGTTTCGTCCACACGTAAACGGCGTTTGGAATAAACGAAAACTGATATTTTTCTAAAAAAAAAACAACCCTTTTTTGCGTTTACGTGTGGACGAGGAATACAGAGTTCATCACGTAACGTCAAAGGTATGTGCCTTTTTTCACGGCACGCTGTGCGCCACGTTATTGTTTACATGAGATGAATTGCAGA